GTAGCGTGGCACTTGTTTCTACTAGCGTGGCACTTGTTCCTAGTAGCTTCTTGTTACTAGTAGTAAGGCACTTGTTCCTAGAGGGTCAAGAGGGTGCAGCACAAAGAGATATTAGCGCCTGCCCCCTCCACCCCAAACCAGCAGTGTTATAGAATGAGCGTAACTACTTACACCTGCGGTGTTCAAGCCGTTGGCATAGATTTGCTTGGTGTGTTGGTGTCCAAAGCCATTGCTCACCAACCTTGTCCTCAACAAGGTAGGTAGGGTAGAGAGACTTAAAAGATACATTCAGACAACTCTTTAAGTCTGTCTATTTAGTAGATTTCAAAGGAAGACTTTTTAGATCTTTTTAGGGTAGAGCATGTAAACCAAGCCAGCAGCCCTGCTTGCGCTTCACTCTTGCATCATAGGAGTTTGTGGGCAAAGATGTTTCTCAGCTTCTTTATCGCGTGGTTTTTGAAAAGGTTTCGGGGCTGGTATGGGAACTTTGTTTGTAAAGTGAAGTAATGGGGTTTGGAGTATTCACAATCGCGACAATGGCAAACACTTATGGTAAACGGATGGTTGTGTTCTGTTCTTGGTTTTGTTGAGTACAGCAACACAACCCAACAATGCAAGGTCGTAGAACACGCAACTTCACAATTCACAACGACCTTAGTGAAAGTAATGGGTTGTGGTCCAGAACCGCACTATGACTATGACATGTTTTTGCTAATGGGCTTAAAACCGCGCGTGTAGTGAAGCTGATTTTTCATACGGTCCTTTGGGGGGGTAATAATCTACGTGTGGACGACATGCGTGTTTGGCTATTTTTTGAAGGTGCGCACACACACACACACACTCGAGATATTGCATACTGACTTGAAAGCCACTTGTCACACAGCCACCTAGGTACCCATATTCCTGAGAAATCCAGTAAGGGGGTCTGAGCATCCTGGAGGTCCAACTAAAGAAAGTTAGAGTCCCAAATCTCAAAGTTCACAGTCGACGAACGCGAAACGACAGGTTGACGACGAACGTGCACATCTGCAGAATGCATTAGCCCTTTATGGAAGAGTGGAGTAAAATGCTTGGACAACAGCTCAACGAAGCAAGTACACCAGTTGGTCAGACCTGGCTTTCACTATCACGCATAGCTTCGTTGGCATGCGTTTGCGTGAAAGCCGCATGCCCCCGGCTAACATTTAGAATCAACAGGTTCCCTGTGACTCCAAGGGCTTCACACACACAGACACCCACGCATTGGAAGATGGAAGATGGGACACGGGGGGGTGGGCAGGGGGGGTTGGGGGCTAATGATGTTCATGTCGCGTGCGTTGGATACACACACACACACGCACACACACTTATAGAAAGGTGTACTGAACTGAAAGCCACAAGCCACACGCCCACCTAGGTGTGAACGCCTAAAGGTTTAGGTAAAGACGAACCATCCAAGGAACCTCCAAGGCCCACGAACTCGAACTGCGTAAAACGTGACGAGGTGACGACGGACCGTGCAAGTCTGCGGCATGCGTTAGCCCTTTACTGGAAAATGAGAGTGACAGCTTGAGAACATCACAACCAAGCAGGTACAGAAGGTGATCAGCCTTCCCTTCCCATCCATGACAGTAGCTTCGTTGCACACGGTAGGTCATGGATGCCGTGTGCCCCTGCTATATCAAACACTCCAAAAGGAACCTTGTGACTCCAAAGGTTACACACACACACACACACACACGCCTCCCCGAGGGGAGGCGTTCCCTTTTCAATTGGGCATCACACTAAGGTCCCGACAGGAGGGAGGGTTAGGGAGAGAAGAGAAGAAAGAAAAAGAAGGAGGGAAAGGAAAAGAAGGTGTTCCCAGCTACAACACAAGCGTCCAAGGACACACCAAGAGAAGAAGAGAAGGGTTCCCAGCTATGACGAACATGTCCAGGGACACCCAAGCAAGAAGGAAGGGGGAGAAAGGAAAGAGAAAAAGAGAGAGAGAGAGGTTCTCAGCTACGCGCAAGCGTCCAGGGACACACCAAGGAGAGGGGTGTACATGAGTGTTACATTCAGGAATACACCAAAAAGCAAAGAGAGAAGAGGGGGGTTAGGGGGAGGAAGGGGGCTAAGGTCCCGACAGACTCCAACGAGTCTTGAACAAGCTTCGGCCGCTGCGGCCCGCGGCCACGTACGCTGTGCCAAGATGGCTGGCAGCTTTGACCGCATTGGTCACGTATCGGCGTGAGCCAGCAATAGTTCAGCAAGTCTTGGCAAATAACTTTGGCATAAGCCTCCTCCTGTCCGCTTCGCACACCTACGTTCTCGGGCATGGGGAACAACGGAACAACGACTAACCCCAGTTCAACGGGTCCACAGGGGCCACTCTGCGGGGTCGCCCGGGCTCTCGCGAGGAGAGACACACTTATAGAAATGCGTACTGAACTGAAAGCCACATGCCACACGCCCACCTAGGTGTGAACGCCAAAACGAGGTGACGACGGACTGCGCAAGTCTGCGGCGTGCGTTAGCCCTTTACTGGAAAATGAGAGTGACAGCTTGAGAACATCACAACCAAGCAGGTACAGAAGGTGATCAGCCTTCCCTTCCCATCCATGACAGTAGCTTCGTTGCGCACGGTAGGTCATGGATGCCGTGTGCCCCTGCTATATCAAACACTCCAAAAGGAACCTTGTGACTCCAAAGGTTACACACACAATAATGTGGCAATGGCGCTGGCACCAGTGCAAAGACGATCTACTGACGAAGCTGGGTCAGAAGTTGTCGGACCGACTGTGATGATGATGCTGGAGGATGAAATAGCGCGCCTCTTTTTGCACGATGCAACGGTTTCGCAGCAGTTGGATGTGCAAATCGCAAGGATTTTTCCTTGTTTTCATGTACTGCATGCTGCAACAGGCCTTTCGCATCAAAGCAAAACACAGTGACGCACCGGACATTCGTCGTCACTCACCACGCGAAGATCTTGCAAACGTCTGCAACCACACGCGCGGGAACGAGCCCGGCGGGGTGTTTTTGACACTTGGTGTTAGACTTGCTCTCAGGGATCCCTATTTGCCTTGTCTAGAGTATTTTGGTATTTGTTGTGAGACCCCTGCTTATCTCTTGAAGTTTCTAATTTTGACGCGACAATGCGTTCTCAATCCTTTGATCCGGTATGTGCCTCTGGGAGGTTGTTAGTGTTTGGTGGCTTCAACGGAAAGAAGCACTTGAAGACTGTGGAGGCCTTCAACGAGGAGAAGAGATGGAGGGCACGGGGAAGGCAATCTGTATCGACAGCGTGAAGGCAGGGGTGCAGAAAGGCTTTGCGTCGCAAGTAAAGTTCTGAGGTTTATATAAGCAAGTGTGTTTCTGTTTTTTGTTCCGTAGCCATTTTGGCTCAAGTCTCTTTTGGGGTGACTCACCGTGACTCTGCCCCGCACGCCCTGCACGTCGTGGCCGATCGCGAGAGCCCTGTTTGCAGCCAAACACGCGCTGCAGCGCACGTGAAGGATTTTCCAGGCCAGGGTTGAACCTACCCAAGGGCTCGTAAGGAGTTCTGCGAGCTACGCAGCGGTACCAAATGATGATCATGTCACGGACCTGGTTTCTCCAGGAGACCTTGGTGAAGGACCGCAAACGACTCCAGGGAAAAGATTTACTGCAGAAAGTGAAGGATTCGCCCAGGAAGGCAAGGGTCAGAAAGAGGTATGTTCTGGCCAGGTCGTGTCCCGAATGTGCTGCACTTTTTCCACAAAACAAAGCCTTTGAATGTATCGTTTGCTACAGTGCACCAAACGAGATCCATTGAGTACTTGATGATGCAGAAGGCAACATGTCCTGTGTGCCGACTTCACTTTTGGGACAGGTCGAGGGCGATACAGCACCTTATGTATGCACCGAGATCGGGTAGGCCGAATAGATTCTTCACATGGATGGAGATGTGTTGAAATTGGGCAATCTGAACAAGAGAAGGGCAGCATGAATGAACATGATTCCCTGCACTGCCAGGCATCAACAGGAGAGACTCTATCGGTCTACCAGGACCCAAGGTAATTATTAGGCACTTCGCCTGATGACTGGGGAGTCCTTGAGGATGCCTTTCTTGGGCTCCACCAAAGATTGCTTCACGACGGGTTCCTTTTTGGTGATGTGGTTACGGACGAGTTCGTTGCTTTGTTTGTGGAGTTGATCCATTCTCCGGAGGAGGTGCTTTGGGAGTTTTTGAGAGCAAACCCTTGGATGACAAGGAATTTGAGAAGTGGCTCCCGCTGTACTTCAAATGGGGGAACGGAACGAGCGTGGAGAGGTTGAAACCACCTTCCCACGAAAAAAGGGGGTGGGACCTCTTCTTTACGCAGCGGCCGGCAAGATGCCCGTTAAGATCCGACAGCATAGAACCCTCGAGCAGCGAGCCCCACAGGCCAGTCCTGAAGCAAAAGGCCACTGAAAGAGAGCGTGCTACGAGGGATGCCGGGACCCAGATGCCCGCGGAAAGGTGGTACCAGGGAAACTCTTGAAGGAGAAGAGCGTGAAACCTTGGCAGATCCGAGCCGCTCTGTGAGGGACAACTTTTAATTGAACCTTTGTTCATGGAATGCTCTTGCAAGAGGCGCTATAGGCCGCTTGAGCCTGCAACAGCTTGAAATGGGAAAGGCGAGACGAACAAATGGAAGGAAAGAAAGGAATACCCTGATTTTTTTGGGCCAAGCGACTTGTGTTTTGCGCAGGAGACGTGCTCTTGGGAGGTGGTAGGTGAGTTGCCAGGGGCCCCTAGACACCAGTCTTTTCTGGTGTATGACACTCCGTTGGGCAATCTGTATTTTAGCCAAATGTTTCCAATGTAAAGCTCTTGGACTCTTTGATGTTGTTGACCGTAGCCCGCCATGGCCGAACCATCTCATTTGTGATTCCAGTCACCAAGGCCACAAGCAATTTTAGCTGCAACAGCCTCCGCCTCTCACTCGAAGCTGGTTAGTGCAGTTGTTCAATTCACGGCAGTTCCTTTTACAAACGAAAATGACTCAAGTTGGACCTTCATCCCTCAACCCTCAACCATATGTGAATGTCGACCTTAGTCGTTGCACCCAGGCCGTTTGCATGCCGCTCTAAGCTGGCAGGCCTGGAGGGTGGGCCCTGTGAGCGAGATGTCGACATAAGTCACTAGTTGTTTGATTTCCTTTTGGCAGGAACGATAGGTCGAGAGTCGAGATCTGGTCTTTGTCGCAGTTTGACATGACAAACGTGTTTCCATGTAAGCAGCCATCATGAAACCCAGTTATAACCTCGTGAATCCTTGTGGTTTGTATTGTTTTCATGTGTCAGATTGATTCAACGTGATTCCAAATGTGTAGCTGTGTAGGCAGATTCCCTCCTGTGTGTATGCGCTTCATATTATGACGCTGCTGTTTTCAAAGGCGGCGGACAAATGCGGTGCTCACATCGCAGCCATCGTGATCGCTCAGCAGATACACCACGGGATTTCGATTTTCCGTTTTGCTGGCATGCAGAATGAACCAACATAACTTTAACAAGCAGCGCAGGCTGCTTCTCCAACACTGTGGCCATGTCAGTGGAACTTGCGAGATTCTGTGAGTTCGTCCCATGAATGGGACTTGAACATTGAAGTCATGACATCAGTCGAGTACTGAGGTCGCTCAGATTGAGAAATGCACATCCCGGGATGGTGTTTTGTAGTCTAGTCACACTAGTCCAATCAGTCTAGTTTTATCCAACCCTATAACCCCATCATCATAATTAAGGCACCTGGCAAGCCAAACAGTAGAGAGTGTGCCCATCAGCATTCCTACGCAACTCTCAATTCTGGGCAGTAGAGCCTATAGATGTTTCTTTCCATGAGATCTTAAGCAGCTGCCAAAGGCAACAGAAGCAAGCTTGTGACGTCCATCACCGCCTTTCTGTCTCCAGCTTTGAGAGATGTGGAGAAGAAGCAGAAGGTAGGGGAGATTTGAAGGAAAAAACACTGTCTGCAGGTTGGCCTGCCATCTTAAATTGTCGTGTGGTGATTCAATGCACTAGGATCATGAGGACTACCTCGCCTTACTTGCTTACGGCCTCGCTCCTTGTTTTCTGCTTCAAGGAGTGGCACGTTAGGGTTGCCACACTACGCTTGTGGGCCAAACAAGAAGGGCCAACTGCTCTTTAGCCAAACCCCGTTAGTTTCTATTCTAGGCTTTGGATATCTGTGGATGATCGCCTTCTCGAGCAACCAGCAGTACAAGTTGGTGTTGAGTAGATTGTTGATTGTTGACCAACAAAACATGCCAAATGACTCAGATAGCTATGACTGCTGTGCGACAAGATGAACTTGACGGGTACACTTTGATGACAAATGGAAACATTTTGATTCAGACAAGCTTTTACTCCTTGCTGGGGTCGCATATGGGTGGCAAGCTAATAGAGATTGCCTGGGAAATGGGCCGACGTCGCGACCGCGGCTGGGATCTCAGCATGCACGCAGCAAAACTTGTACCACTGGTTATGACATGTCCTGGCATCCACTTCGGCAACAGTCTTGTCACTTTTTTGGTTCCTTGTTGGACTGACATTTTTGTCCAAAGACAACTCGAGCTTTGCGTCAACACATTTTGGTGGACCACATTCTTTGGGACTGAGGTTGGGAGGCAGAAAGGCTACTTGCGCGTGAAATTTGATCGAAGAAAGCTGCTTCAGAGTCAATTTTGCAAATTCTGAAACGTCTTGACGATTTTGAAAGTGTAGCAACTCGTTTATCACCATCTTCAACTACCAGAGAGACTCTGGCTGACATCATTTTGTGACGAGTAGGCCTTGTGCAGGTGGGAAGAGCCTCGTGGTCCACGTTGGGTGAAAGTGGGCCAAGCACAGGACGAGGAGGAGCTGAAGACCCTAGGGACTCGAGCGACGAACTCCACGGACTCCGTAAGAACGACGCCCTTTGTTACTAATAGCGTCCTTGTTACTGGTAGTAATGCCAGGAGCGCCCCAAGTAGTGTCCTTGCTCCTAGTAGCGATGCCCTTTGTTACTAGTAGTTTCTTGTTCTTGGTTGAGCATGCTTAGTTCTTCCAGTGGTTCCGGCCCTGGCACATGACATCGTTTGTTTTGCAATGGCATCGCCTTCATGCCATGCACACATGCACCCACAGTGTGAAATGAATTATCCCTGGGCTTGCGGACAGCGAGATTGGTACTTGCTTTAACACCGGGATAGATAGTAGCGTCCTTGCTCCTAGTAGTAAGGCCCTTTGCTCCTAGTAGC